ACCTTTTGGGGGGCTGCTCTGCCCAACTAGCAGTGTGAATAATTTACTGCTTATTGCCCATTGCCTATAGTTCAAACGATCATGTGTTTTTGTTTTCACCAATGTATAAAGGCTATACTAATTTGTGTAGGGGGGGCTCTCAATTTGCGACTTGGGTCCCCAGAGTGCCTCTTTATTGCCGTACAGAATCAACAGGTTGCAGTTTCCCCACTTGTGCCTGATTTTGGCTCTTGCATCCTAGCGTTTGACTGGCCAATCCATGGCTTGGCCAACAGTCCTGGCCTTTCTTCACTTGCTCGCTCGCTCGCGCATACACACACACCACACCCTCCTTCCCCCTTTGGCTCACACACACACACACACACACGCCCCCCAGCGCCCTCCTTCCCCCCAAGTTTGGGATAATAAAGGAAAACATTTGGGAAGCCCTGTCTTGAAGGATGGGTTTGGACTTTGGGGAAGAGCGAACTCACCACCAGGAGTGAGCAGGCATTTTTGTCCCCCAGGATCCAGATTTTTGGTGCTCCCACCAAAGGGGGGCTACAACAGCCCCACCCTCTCCTTCATGGGAGAGCTTGTTTTATAAAAAGGGAACTGAAAACAAGCAGGTGTGTGAGGGGACGTGGAGGAAAAGAGCCCTCCAGCCGTAGCCTTCAGCCAGCGAGAGAAAACTTCCATTCTTGGAGGTGCGAGAGCTCTGAGAGGAGGAGGAAGGAAAGAGTCCGGGCAGAGTCTGCAAGCCCAAACCAGCCTATTGCATGTACCAGCCCAGGGGCAGAGCTCCCCAAATCTGCTCCAGAAACAGAGGACTGAGTGCTGGGGTGGGGTAGAGAACAGCCCTTTCACAAGTCTATAGAGAAGTGAAAAGTATGTTCAGGTGCAAACGGACCGAGATTGGTTACAAGAGCTGAAGACCTGGGGCAGGGCAGGGCGGGGTGGGAGGAATTTAAAGAAGAAATAGTTAAGATAAGAAAACCCTAACATAGAAAGAGAACACAGAGAAATGTATAGATGAAATAGGAATAGAAATAGAATAGTAGTAAACTTATCGTAATAAAAAGGTAGTAGAGTAAGATAGGAGTTTAAATCTGTGGTCCAAACAACAGGAGAGATCCAGGTGAAAGCCACATCTCTAGATGTTTGGCCTCAAAAGAGGTAAATTGGAGATATTGCTGGAATTCTGGAAGGGTTGTGCTTCAAAAGTCTGGAAGATAATGTGTTGTAGGCTCACTTTGGAGGTTCCCCGTTGGAGTGGGTCTACCAGGATCTCCGTATGATCTTTCACACACACATACATACACTTACCCCTCATCCCCTTCGGTTCCACCACAAATTCTGCAGTAGCTCAGGCTACCTCCTGAAACTGAAAACAGCCACAACAGTAGCATAGCAGCTTTGCAAAATATATTTAAGTCAATAAAACAGACCAAACCCATGAGTAAGAGTTAAGAAAATGTACATTTTGCACACAGGATGTGCATGACAATAATAGAGAGATTCTGAAGCTGGACAATCTATGCCCAACAGGGAAGTAGGGGTCTGCTCTTCTTAGCAAAACATTTTTTGCCTGTTGCAAGGAACATCCTTTTTCTATTCAAGAAAATACATTCTTATATATCTGTATCGTATTTAGTGACACTGTAGGAAACTTTGAAATTCAGACAGAGAGGAATCAACCATGGAATAATTTTAGCCATAACTTTGAAATTATTGTCCTAATCTGAAGACTCAAAATAGATGAATTTAAGGTAGTTTCCAATCACCTTTGTAGTGGTTTAGATAAAGGGTAAATAACATAACATTCTTTTTTATCCCTTGTTGTTATGGAGTGGTCTTCCCTATTCTCACAATGTTTTTCAAGCTGGGCAACTAAGATGCGTGGACTTCGTGGGGAATTCTGGGAGTTGAAGTCCACACTTCTTAAAGCTGCCAAGTTTGAAAAACACTGCAGGAATTGGATTACAGTCTTCAAAATGCCAAGTCATCGCAGACGTTCTGGAAGAAACCCAGTGCATCTGAGATGCCTGCCTGCCTGGTTGGTATAGAAAGATCAATCACTTCAAGTTGCTATATTTAAAAATGAGTATTTTCCAGAAGGAAGGTTTGAGACAACTCATCCCCAAACACCCATCCTCTCCTCTCATCCTCAACTAGATTAAAGAATATGCAGGGTAAGACTACAGCTTCTCCTGTTCCTCCTCAAAATAGCTACGTTCTTGAATCATGGAAGAGTTGGGGCATGGTCCCTTCCTACACCTCTACCTTAAATTGTCTTCTTCTACAGCTGCTTTTGGGGTAGAGATAAGGTAATTAAATTAAATTAAATTAAATTCAGTCTCCTAGCTTGGAAGAGGAAATTAGCTGTTTAAGAAGAAAGCCCATTTTTTATTGCCCTAAATATTCCCTTGAGACAACACCGACATCTAAAGGTTAGCCATTGGACCTGAATTTCAGCATTCATTGGTGTCCATGAGCATTGTTCCATTCATTGCACAATCGCCAGCCACATCTTCTCAATTCCAGAGTTTCATCTCCGTATGGAATTTGTTTCTTCTAGAAAATCAGAAGACGGTCAATGTACCCTCTTTGAAGGTTGTGACCTCAGTAGACCTTTTCCACCTTTGCATTGCTAAATGTAGATGGGTTGTGCCATCTGCTGCCAGTTCCAGCTGGATTATCCCTCTGCGATTTCTCTGAAACCACTGCCTTCCATTGTTGTGCATTTCTCTCCACATCATGCCCTCTTTGCTAAAGAACTGTGAGTCTTCCCTGGAGACAGCTGCACTGGGAAGTTGGGATAGGCTTTCTCCTGCATTAATTCTGACCTCTTAGCAATATTACAGAATCCAGGTATCGTAAAAAGGTAGCTAAGTCTCCAGTGAGAGTCAAGAACAACAGCCGTTCTTTGCTTGGCCGAAGTCCCATCATGCACTTGGCCCTGATCTAAAGAGTTCAAATCAGGAGGACCAGGTTGGCCAAAATCCCAGCATGCACCTCACCCTTTTTTCACAATGGTAAATAACAAGTCCTAGAGCGGCCAAAGTTCCATCACGCACTAGAAACCTGAAAGCAGCAGAAGATATGGAGTGGAAAGGGATGTATCCCCTTTGATTACTATGGGATGATTGTCTGCCCAGTTGTGGATTCATCCTCTTCTTGCAGATTTGCTCAAAAGGCTTCAGCAGTGGCAGCCACAAATCCTGGAAGCTGGCTGATCTGGTTAAACAAGAGCAAGGACGTTAGCTCATAAATAGGCCCTGTGCTTCCTCAGACCTCTCCTCCCTATGTCGCAATGTTCCATGTCAACCTTCCCAGTCTGGCTCCTTCCAGCCTGTAATGGTCTCTGAGAATGTCCTTGAGAGACAGGAGGAAGAGGTGGAGGAGGAGGCAGAGGAGGAGGAGGAGTCTAGGTAACAGTCAGATAAGAGGCAAGCTAGCATGTCTCCGAACAAGTAGAGAAGACGTCGTGGCCATGACCGAAAGACCGGTGAGTAGACTGGTCCCACAGAACCTCTCCAGATAAGGAGAGGATGGGAGATTGCCCACTTATGCTCCAGACAGCTGCTCCTTGCAAGGAGACTGCAGGATAGTGGTTTTCCACAAGTTTGAGTGTCAGGAGATGAAGGGAAGCCATCACGCTCTCATCTGCAGCAGAGCCTTTTAAAGGACGCTGGGTTCATTAACTGCACTTTCTAATCACTTTTGGAAATCACCTATTTAACTACCCTATTTAACTTGCAAGATTCTATTACTGTAACCTTACAATAAAGGTAGTGTTTATACTCGTGCTTGGAACTTCTTGTTTGGACTACTAAGGGCTGACATCAAGCTTGCAAGTCTGAAAGGACATCTCTCCCCCCTCACCTTTGCAGTCCAAGAAACTAGGATGGGTCCCTCCTGAGACATTCGCCATACCCCATTGCTTCGCAGGCTGAGCTGCCTCTTATCTGACCATTTGCCTAGTCTGCGGCTCCTCTTCTTCCTCTTCCTGTCTCGCAAGGACATTCTCACAGCCTCAGCCCACACCAGAATGAGAATGAGCTGCTGGGAGATTATGCAGAGAACCTATTTGGGGAAGGTTGCATTTGGTCATATCTCCCTGGCTTGGGGAGTGGAACATTTCTGGGAGAAGTCATATGCTACCTTATCTCACACTATTAAAAATTAGGAAACCAGCATTATGAAAACAGCTTCTTCCATCCTTGCATTGGGAGGTGTAAAGAAAATGCAGCCTGTAAACACCTCCAAGAAAGGTGGTCACAATCTTCTATTATCTTGAAATAAAAAAGAGGAGGCTTTATTTCATGGCAAAGAGAGGGAAGGAACTCTAAATTTTTCCCACCGCTTCGAAGCAAGGACTAAAGAATGCAACCACGGTACGCCTTTTATTCCCCCACCATGGTCTCACCGCCATCACAACTGGACTCATGCTATAGTCTTCTTCTCAGGCTATACTTTCTGTCCTTGACGAGCTTCCTGTAGCTTCTTTCTGCGTTCCTCAGGAATTTCATCCAGGCTTATCCCATGGCTGCTTGCCCTGAAGGAAAAAGAGCAAACTTAGGAATGTCTGAACCACGAAGAAGCATGATAAAGATGGTGAGGGGCTTGGAGGTTGAATCCTACAGAGAACATTTAAAAAAACTGTGTGTGTTTAGCCTAAAGAAGAACAGTGGAAGGAAGACATGTTAACAGTCTTCCAATCCTTGAAGGGCTGTCTCAGGGAAGAGGGGATGGATTGATCCTCCAGAAGGCCCAGGGGTTGGACAAGAACCAATGGGCGGAAGATTAACTCAGAGAGAGAGATCCCAACTCAAAATAAGGAGGAATTTGCTGACTGTGAGAGCTCTGAAGCAGTGGAACATCCTCTCTCCTGGAGTTGTGGGGCTCCGTCACTGGAGATGTTGAAGCAAAGGCTGGACAGCTGTTTATCTGGGAAGGTCTGAGGATTCCTGTGCTCAGTAGGGGGACTAGATGTCCAAGGTCCCTTCCAACTCTTGAGTCTATGACTCTGTAAACCTCTTTGATCCCCATCCTGCTCCCAAGAAGATGCCCTCTTACCCTGACATCAAGTCTGGGGGAGTAGGGATGGGTTTCGTAAAGCCATCACGACCAGTGAGCCAGTAAGTGTCTTCTAAGCCTTTTCCCTAAAGAGGAAGCGAGATGCATCAGATCTAGGTAACCCATCTCGTTTTAATCCGTCGTTCCTTTTTTTCCACCCTCAAGCTGGTTTCATCTTGTTTCAGCCATGCCTTGTAATTTTTTTTTAGTCTCGTCTCAAAAATTTGCCTGTTATTTTTTTTTTTAATTGCTTCTTTTTGTACAGCCTTTGACTAATATACAATGTGTTTCTTTGCAAACTTTTTCATCTCTCTCTTTCTCTTTCTCACTCTCTCTCTCTCTGAGATATTGCTTAATACGCATGTTTTCATGTAGAATTTCAATACCTTCAGCTCTGTTTTCCCTCGTAGATCGAGCTTGAAACCTTCTTTGAGTGAATGCAAGATCTCGACGGTGCGCAAGTTGACGTGAATTCGATACGCTGCAAAAAAAATACATACCAACACATACTTGAAACACACAGACTTTGAAGCGCACAGCCAGCAAAGCTCAGAGGGTTTGGCAAGCCACAACTACAGGGGTGGGGCAGGGAGGTTCAGAAACATCAATACAGTGGCTGCAATGCACATAAAAAGAAGCAGGGCTTTGATTGTGGTGTCACAGCCATCTCGTTGACTTTTTTGCCACTCTCCTCCAGACCCTTCTGGAGGAGACCCAGAGAACATGATGATCTACAATCCTCTGCAGACAATGAAACTGGGCTGCCCAAGGCGGAAGATTGCATCTGGATTTACGAAACACATTCTGCCATGTTCCCTTGTGCCCAGTCAATCAGCGAGCTCTTCCAACGCAAGTGTGCATTACTCACGAAGGCCTGTGGACTCCATCCGCGAGGCAGTGTTGACCGTGTCCCCAAAGAGACAATAGCGTGGCATTGTCAGTCCCACCACGCCAGCCACGCAAGGCCCTGTCAAGGACATCAGAGAGATTCGTTCTCAGCCTGGCGTTCTTAAACATCACTAGCGGTTTTCAACTGCCGTGTGTGTGTGTGTGTGTGTGTGTGTGTGAGAGAGAGAGAGAGAGAGAGAGAGTTTTTGTTACTTTTTTCCTTCATTCCTGATGACCTACCAGAGTGCAGACCAATGCGTATCCGAACGGGTACCTCTGGCATGTGGCGCATCTTGAAAGTGCCAACCGCACTGAGAATATCTAGGGACATGTTGGCAATCTCACCCGCGTGTCGGTTCTCGTTCCGTTTCGGCAGCCCTGAAGCTACCATATAGGCATCGCCAATGGTCTCTACCTGCCAAACAGAACAGGAGCGGTGAAAACGGCTAAAAGATCTCGGAAGGGGGGACTCGGCTCAGCTCCAGAAGAGAGGTGGGAAGCAAGGTGTCAAGCACGCGCAGCGACGTCCAGCGGCAGAAGCAAAACTTCCTTGTTTGATTCAATCTCTGTTAGCGTGAGAGGCTATGGAGAGGTTGATAAAGAACTGGGAGGAATGTTAGACATAAACAACCCAGATTTCAGCATTTTAATGCAAGGATCGGGGTAAAGTACAGAATCTTGGAACTTCCCAACCCTCACTGAACAATGAGTTCATCAAGACAGAGTCTCTGAACGTTTTTAATAATTTCTTCCTGAGTGTTTTTTAGCCAGAACTGGGCTGTTGTTTATGACATAGGTTCCTAACAAACTCCTCTCTCTTCTATCGGCCGTCTACAGTATGTCTAACATTCCTCCAAGTTCTTTATCAACCTCTTCATAACCTCTCATGCTAACAGAGATTGAATCTAAAAGGAGAGAGGTGTTTCAGTTGCCAGAGAACAAAGGTGATTTAGGAAGGCAGGCACCACTGCCCTCTTTTCTTCTAACATCCCCCAAAAACCACTTTGTAGAAATCTAGCCCACCAGGTCCATAACTTCGCTTCCAAGCGTCATCAACTAACTGAAAAGCCAATACGCAGATGACATGGTCCTTGTATGATCATATCAAGCATCAAGGCCACCTGGTGTTCTGTTCCCCCCATCCCTGCCTCCACCAAGCCTACGGCCTGCGATAATGATAGCAAACAAGCCTGATCTGTCCTCACCTTATAGACGTCATGGGAGCCGATGATGGCATCAAAGAGAGTGTAAAGATCATTGAGAAGGTCAACCACCTCAATGGGTTCACTCATGGCTGAGATGGTGGTGAAGCCGACAATGTCGCTAAAATATAAGGTCACCTCTTCAAAATACTCTGGTTCCACTGGCGCACCTGTCTTCAGGGCCTCAGCCACAGAACTGAAGAGATTACAAGTATAAATGTCAGTTTATGCCTCTTTAGGTCTGCAGAAAGCTGATCAGTTTGCAGATACCAAATAAATTTTTTGCAAAAATAGTGTACTCTTGAAAGGTGGCCTTGCTCAACCTAGTACCTTCCAAAATTGCTTGCTTAGAAGAATTCTTAGCCAGCATATATTGTTTGCATTTTTCAATAGATTAACTTCCTTAATAGAGTGTGGGAATGCTGTAGATGCAATATATCTTGATTATAGCAAAGCATTTGGCAAAGTATCCCAAAGATTGCTAAGCCAGCATGAGAATTAACTGCATACATAGTTGGATCAAAAATGATGCTCAAAGAATGATCATCAGTGGTTCCTCATCAAAACAGAGAGAGAGATACAGAGTGAGATCCACATAGTTCTGTTTGGCAACTTATATTCTTCAACATTTTATTAATGATCTTGATGAAGGGGTGGGGGGAATGCTTATCAAATTTGCAGATGATACAAAATTGAATGGGATACCATAGAAGATAGAAATAAAATTCAAAACAATCTTAAGAGATCAGAGAAATGGGTTGAAAATAGCAGAATGAAATTTAATACAGATGCAAAGTTAATCACTTAGGAAACAGACTGAAATGCAAAGGTATAGGATAAAGGATACCTGGCCTGGTAAATTACTTTTGGAATATGAATCAGAGGTGTGCTATGGTTGCAAAAAGGCAAATGCAGATTTGGCTCCATCAACAGAACTTACAAAATTATGGGGATTATAGTTCCACTTTAAGACCCCACCTCAAGTATTAGTTCCATTTCTGGACACAGAATTTTAAGAAAGATTTAAACCAACCATAATCTGTATTCTGAGAGGAATTCCAGTTTATATATATGGAAAATATTTTCAGAAAATAAATTCTTTGTTAAAAAATGTCTATGGGGATCTTCCATTCTGAAATATCTTTACAGAAAATGCAATTACCAATGAGGGAGAATCTGGTTTTCTGAATCTGGAGCTATATCATCATGTTATTGTCAAGTATTAAATACTGGAAGCCAACTATATACCCAATACATGGAATTTGACAACTGGACAACGTAAAAGGATTCTCCGTGCCTTTACTATGGCCAAAAGGCTGATATTGCAGCATTGGAAAGATAGATGTATGGCCCCATTTATTCAATGGATCGAAGACCTGATTGCACTCGCCACTTATGAGTGGATTGCCTATAGACGTAGACTTTGTACGGACAAGTATAAGGAAACGTGGGACTCATTTATACAAAATCCAGTAGGTTTAAAAAAATATATGATAATCATATAACTCTATTAGAAATATGCTATGTACTTGAATAATATTTGCATTAGATAAGCATATAGAGAATTGTAACTATTTACTGTTATAATGACATATCATAGCATTTTTTTTCCTTTGTCATATTTCTTCCACTTTGTTTCTGAATGCAGGGCAGGGAATCGTGGATGAAAGTTACTGGGAGGCAGATTCCAACTAAGCAGTTCAACAGGGGAACTACTGACCCAGAAAAGTGATGGGTTCCCCTTTGTTGCATATGTTCCAATGGAGTCTGAACCGCTTTCTCCTTTAATGTGGATTCCTACACTGAACGGGTTGTTGGTCTCAGTGGCCTAAATGGTGTCTTGCAATTCTAGGTTTCTACAATTCTGTAGGAACATAAGAGGACTTCTGCAACCAGGACATGGTCTCTACCCTCCCCGCTTAAGCTCCCTTGGATTTTGGCAGACTCACGGAGGCAGCATCTGTGTTAATAACTTGTCAGTCTTCTGCTTCTCAACCTCTAACTCTTCTGTCCTCTCCCGGATCAAGTCCTCCAGATTGCTGGAATATTGCTCTAGCATGCGTAGCATGGAGTCAATGATATTGGTCTTCCTACCTTTGTTGATGTTCTTAAACTGTGGGAGAAGAACAGAAAGAGAGGTAGAGGCCAACTCCTTCCCCTCTGAGATCCTGGTGTTGTAGCCACCATTCCTGAGCTCAAGTCACCTGGTCAAAAATTTGATTGATATTTGGTCTCCTTTCAGGGTGCTCGCTCCAGCATTCTTTCATCAGCTGAATGCACTCCATTGGAGCTTGGTCTATAGAAACAGAGGGACGGCAAAGAGGTGGCGGTTTCTCCACTTTCTTGATGATCTCTGCTTGGACAAAGACAAAACTTTCACTGTTGCTCTGGTCAAGCTGCCCTCTGCACAAATTCCATAACCACCTTGATTCAGATACCCCATCAGAGAAATAGCCCAACTTGTGCTAGGAACTGAGAAGAACCACAGTTCTCTATACAATCAAAGCCAATCCTGTTCATTTAGAATAATATAAATCAATGCAGCTCCTTCTGGTATTATACATCTTTTCTTAACTTGTTTTACATCTCATTTCTGCCCAAAGGAAGCCAATGAATTTATAGTCAGGCCAACCATATATATTCCAAAAAATTCAGATGTGTAAATGATAGGTATATCTATGAAATATTGTTTGATACCTTGGTTGGTAGCCTAAATGCTTGCAGTTGTGTCACGAGTTCATAGTGACCTTCCTCATGTGGTAAACAGCAGACTTTTATCTTGCAAAAACTTTAATAGGTAAAACAATCGTGGTGAAACCAAGTTGCAAGGAAGAGAAGTATGGACATTTGGCAGAGCCTAAACTTGGCACCCAAAGCTCAGTTGAACTTTGACCCAGTCACTGAACTGGGGAAAAGACAGGAGGACCACCGTTCGCAGGGATGAAGTCAGAAAGCAAAATGGACCAGTGCTCTGTCTCAGTCCACGCCAGCAGAGTGGATACTTATGTTGTGATGAGATTCCCACGTCTAAGAGAATCTGGGTAAAGGTCCTGCTGTTCTGCGCCCAACCCATTGTTCCAACCCACGTGCCATGGTGATGAGAGAAAAACCCGTATCTGCCCTCTCTGTTCATTGTTACTCTCTAAATACCTTCAGGAGTCATGTCCAGCATACAGTAAGGGGCAGCACGGCATATAACTTCTTGAATAATTATGGAAATACTGTAGATATCTCCCCAGAAGGTGCCTTTTCGTTCCAGCACTGGATTCCTCAACAACTCTGGGGCGGTCCAGAACCGGTCTGGTAGAATAAAGACAAATATCCAATAATTTCCTTCATTCTGTTCTTCTTATCATACCCTCCGCCTGTAAATCCACATGGAGCTTTCTGCCCCTATCCTCTATTTATACACATTGAGTTACCCCACTGAGTATCCCTTTAGAACAGTTTTTCTCTCCAACATCAAGAAGAAAGAAATCTGAAGCTTTAAGTCCAGGGAGGTTCATTTTTCACTCAGCTATTGGCAATCTATATCTATCTATCTATCTATCTATCTATCTATCTATCTATCTATCTATCTATCTATCTATCATCTACCTACCTACCTAATTAGGTTCTTTTTCACCTAGATTTTTCACCTTTCCAACAGTCTGGTAGACCAGCTTTCGTCAACCTGGGAGTGATAAGCTATGTTGGACTTCAACTGCCATAATCCCCAGCTGGTGTAGCCACTGGCCATACTGGCTAAGTATCATGGGAATTAGTTCAACACACCCAAAAGGC